AAACTTGATATGGGCGGTCAGGATCGGAACATGTTGATCCTGTTGTTGTTGTTGTGGAATTAGCTTTTCTAACGTTACAGCTCATTCATTGTAGGCACGTTTTAAAATTTTTGATTAAATTAAATGTTTTGTGATAATATTTCTTATTAATTGCTAGGTTTATTTATTCAATTATTTTGTTAAAAAAATTCTGATAAAAATATTTTCAATGTTTTTACTCAGTTTTTACCTCAAACTGTAGATATACTAAATTCTAAAGTTTATAATTTTTAAATTTTGATAACTTTATACTGGAGCAAATTTTGATAGAATTAATTATTTTTAAATTTTTTTAAGACTTTCAAAATTGGTCAATAATTTAAATAAACGTGTGCTTGACGGTAGGAGCAACCACGCTCATGAAGCCACAAATCGCCAGCTGGATTTTACTGTTTAATACTTTCAATGCATCCAGATATTAAAATTGTTTAAATTATTTTCTAAAAATAACAACACCGGCATTTGACAACAATTATCAACGTTCATAACATCAAATTTAATGGCATTAAAACAATTTAAACTCAAATTGAAAATATTACGTCAATAAATTATTAATACCAAAATATTTAACAATATGGCATTTGTGCTATCGAAATCTCTTATATGAACAATGATTCAGAAGATGAGATCTACAGCAGTTCTCTTCTTCCTGCTGACACACAAAATCTTCTGCTCATCAGGTTAGTGAACATTCTATTCTGAATATTTTTGTTAAAAGCATTGCTCTACGTTAAAACAACAAGTACGTGAACAACATACCACAAACAACAAACATTTAAGCAATGAACCACAAACAAACATGAGAACAAACCACAAACAAACATTTGAACAAACCCGTGAACAACAAGCAAAAACATCAAATACAATATTAACAAGAAGCATGAATGGGAAAATTTAATTGCTGCATTCCGGGCACAACTCAAGCACACATATGCGCTGACTCAATTTCATTCAAGTTAAATTTATTTCCTTTTTTAAACATATTTTCAATTATACTCCTGTGTACATAAACAGTATTTTGGTTAACACGTATGTATCTGTGCGTATTCTCTAAAAAAAAGAGGCGAGTTGAGTAGCCTGTGTATGTGTACCGTACAGTTGGCATTTATGCGTGTGTGTGTGTGTGTGTGTGTGTGTGTGTGTGTGTGTGTGCATGTACATATACATGTAGGCGAGCAGGTTTTCCGTTCAAAAATTGTTTTCCAGATGATGTAATTGAACACCTGTCTGCACGTTTATACCTACTTCATTCGTTCAATTAAATGGTCATCAAATAAAGCTTCTTATTTAAAAGTTTTTTTGAACATCAATTACCCTAAAAATGTAATTGTTAAAAAATTATTAAATTTCAGTAGTTTCAGAGAGTTATCCGTGAAAATTTCGTTTGAAGATTTCCAAATTAATTAATGATCTTTTAAAACCTTCCATTTCTAACGAAATTTTCAAAGCAGATTAATTAAGACGCTCTAACAACAACAACAACGTTGAAATGAGGGAGGCAAGAATAAAAAAATAAATATTTGTCTTTCAAACGTACATTCAAACACTATATAATGATTTAAGTGGTGAAAGTGCAAGAGTCTGAGCCGCAGTGACAGTGATGATGACCTGATGATGACCTGATGATAATTAAATGATGACATTTATATTGATGATGGTGATAATTATTGTTGATCTGAAGATTGATGTTATTTATATTAAAACTTCTATTAATATTATGATAATGATGGAATGAGAAATAGTGCTGATGTTAATAACTAAATGAATGAATGAATAAACGAACGAAAGAACGAACGAATGAATGAATGAAAGAATGATTATGATGTGACGATCGCGACGATAACATTTAATAATACTAATATCATTAGATCATTACGACTATTCATTAAAGTGGCGATGGTTATTAATGATGAAAATTTTTATTGAGATGATAATGATGATGGAATGAGTGAGGACGATGATGACAATGATGAGGATAAATAATGATGAATATAATAACGGCAATAAGACGAATGATGATGATGTTGATGATGATAATATTAAAAGAAGGAATAGAAAAGAGAGATAACGATGTAGATAATGCTGCTTAAGTGCACGTTATAAAGCTCTTGAAGATGTCCTCGCTCCTCTGATGATGAAAATAACGATTATGATGATTTTACGGTGATTACGTGATTACGACCATTACAACCATTACACAATTACAATGATTACAGTGATTACGATCATTACAACGACTGTCATCGTTACAGAAGTAAATGCAGCTACGAAGATGATATGTCTGTGATCCTAATATGAGGTGTGATCATAAGTGATCATGCTGATAATTATGGTGGTAATGATGAAGATTCTTTTTTAAATAATGATAAATAAGATGATGAGAATGGCCAGTGCTAATAATGAAAATTATCGATAATGATGACGACTGTAACAAGAGATGAACGTCATTTTCGTGCTGCAGATTATGTCCATGATAATGATGACTATGACGATGAGAAAGACGACGACGACGATGATGATTAATATTATGATGAGGATGATAATAATAATGATGATGATGAAGATGACGACGACGGTGGTAACTACACCGACGCTAGTGGTGATGATAGTTACGATGAAGAAACGCAGCAGCTAACAGAAAGATAAAAGATTGTGAATTTGTAAACTTTTACAAAATATCAACCACAGTTTCATTGAATCAGCATACTTGATGTAGCTTGCCATACATCAATAAACCTATCATCCAAACTTGCCGATAAATATTTTACTAAAAATTAATCACTTGCACCATCACACGTCCTTGTGAATGATGTGCTTCGCTGATTGCGTTAAACTAATTGAAACTATTGTGAAAGATTTCATCATAACCGCAAGTTGTTTGACTTATCTTATTAATAACTTATAGGACTTAAATGCAATGAATGATTTAAAAGTTTAATAATTGGCGGTCATTTAACTTTTTTGACAAAAATATACTTTGCCACTTTGGGATGTAACCATTGTAACCATTAATAAAATGATATCGCTCCATTTATACAACTATTTCAATCAGAGTACTTTGCCAAAACAACTTTGCAATTATTCATTTATTTTAAATGAATATTTTTAATAACATTTTTGATAAAAACAATGTCTAAAACCGATAGGTAGGTAAGTATTATTAACATTAGAAGCCGTATATTAACTAAAATCAACATAACCAACCTCAAACAACATCAACATAACATCAACACAACAACAACAAGCAACAGCATCAGAGAACCACTGCATGCTCGCCTATCTCTTCAACTAAACCTATTGATGAATGGAAAGCATAAATGAGCGCATGCAATCTTCAAATACATCCAATCATGAATTATTGAAAAGCATCTGTTCTTATACATAGTTACATCTATTCATACATACATGCATTCGTACGTACGCACACACACAGACATACATACATACATACATACATACATACATACATACATACATACATACATACATACATACATACATACATACATACATACATACATACATACATACATACATACATACATACATACATACATACATACATACATACATACATGCATACACACATACATACATACATACACACATACATACGTATACACATACACATTTTAGCAAATAAAATAAAATTTAGTCAGACGCTTGGCTTTTGGTGTCATTCGTCAATGATTTGGTTTTAACGTATACACATATGCATGCATTCATACACACATACATACACACAAACATATACGTACATACAGATACATTTATAAGAAAGGCCATCGCCAGTTGACCATTCTATGCAGGCAAACATAAATTACAATGGTCATCATACATGATACAATGATACTAATGATAATTGGTCGATGCGTTTGCATGTTATTAAGACGAGTTTTGGCTTCCACTATAATCATCGTTTTATTAGAGAATCATTTTTGAATTACTGCCGACCATCTGATCATCCGTTCATGTTGCTTGAAGATCTATTGCTCCATGCATGAAGTACTAACATGTGCGTGCGTGCGCCGCACGGGCTGGCCGAAGTACGCATGTCAACTTTTGTATGCCAGTAACAATTTTAAATTGAGTCCCTACTTCAGCACTTCCAGCATTTTGAAAAAATCTGCAGTTGGTGCTGGATGTTCATTAATTTTTCATCACAAATATTCTGCGTATTTTTGTGGTATTTTGTCAATTTCCGCATATAACAGAGAAAAAAAATAATAAAGAAAATGGTGGACAAGCTGAATGAAAAGACAAAATTTTTTATTAAAGCTGAAAATTTGTTGTTGAGATGCATTAAATTATTTTTGCAATTTACCCCCATCCAAAAATGTTCTGAAACTAAAATTTTGTAAAAATTGATAATGAAAAATATTCTGACGATTCAATAAATTAGCGCTGTACAATGGGCTGACCGGAAATTGAAAGAGAAAATTTGTGACAAAATGTAACAGATAATATTTTAAGGTAGCTTCACACATAAAATAACTAAATTACACAGGAATAATTATTGATTAAAATAAAAAATAGTGAACAATAAATCAAATTCGGCTTCCAGCTCGTCCTTATTTTTTTTATTTATTTAAAAATTTTTGCATGTCCAGAGCCATTACCGCCGACAGGGAAAATCCTGACCAAGCCCGTCTAAGCACTGGCGCAGGGCCGATTCCAGATATACGAAAAACCCTTACCTGGCTAATCGTATCGTTTAAAAGGCCCACAGATCGACACCATCCATACCGACGTAGTGCAAAAGGACCGTCCAAGCCCACCATTCGATTCCCGCCCTGCGCATATATTGGGAACCGTAATTATTGCTGTTTTTTTTTACTATGGAGACTAGGGAGTTCACCAACGATAAATTCTTGGCACGCCTGAAGATTCTTTATTTTGAAAGATAGTTTTCCCATTTGGCGACCTGGCCTCCAACATGCGGTTCGCCATTAACAGACACCCTACAAGCCTCTGAGAATTTTCTTTATTGTGACTATCTCCTCTTTGGCGACCTGGGCTCCATCGTGGAGTTCACCCACAACAGCAGCTTCATACGCCTGTGAGGATTCTCGAGGATTCTTTTTATTGTGACTACTATTTATTTCCTTTTTGGCGACTGAGCTTCCACCATGGGGTTCACCCACGATAGATGCTCCACACGCCTGAAGATTTTTAATTTTGATAATTACTCTTTCCCTTCGGCTACCGAGCCTCCACCATGGGGTTTGTTCACGATAGACGCTCTGCGAGCCTTCGAGGGTTCTTTTTATTATGAACTCTATTTATTTCTTTTTTGATGACCAAGCCTCCATCAAAGGGTTCAGACGCTCGGTACGCCTCTGCTGCTAATTTAACTTATTTTCTCTTTGGCGCCCAGTCCCACCGTTGGGTTCACCTACAGAAGACAATTGACACGCTTATAGGGTTTGAGTTTTATTTAAATCTTCATGCTGATAAATTTTGCAAGTAGTCATAGATTGGTGATAATCAACAAACACTGATGTAAAGTGATGATGATGCAATTTTAGTATATTTTTAAATGAAGATTCTTTATTCGGAAAATCTTTTCTAAGATAAAAAACCGAGAGACGAATAACTATGCCTTTTGGCCAAAAACTGGAGTTATTAGTTTTTTCAGATAAGTTATAGTTAACAATTAGTTTGAAAGAGACAAGTAAAGTTTCTAGAGCTGGTTGCTTTGATTTTAATAGGTACAGACCATGTAGATTAACATTTTTTTGGCCATATATTTTTTTACAGCATTAACCGAAACATTATTTTTAATATTTGTTAAGAAAAAAACTGCCTTCTTTTTCTTAAAATCTGGCTCTGCAGGTAATATTTTATTATTTTCCGCGGTGCCTACATTAAAATCTGGTTTTCAAGCAGTTATGGTAGAATACAAAGAAGGCAAGCTTTCAACCCTGTTCACAAGTCGATCTTCTTTTCTCTTTTAGTATGAAATATTCTTCCAATTATCTTGTACAACATTGTCTACGTTTGGAATATCAGGAAATGATCTTTTTAAAAGGGTGTCATCCATAGATGAGCAGGTACCACTGGAACAAACTTTAGCACTCGAATTACAGATTTTAATTTTATTTAATGTAACGTTTTAGCCAACTCTAATTTCAAATTTTGAACATGTTTGTTTAAACTGTCAATTAAGGAATACATTTCTTTAAGGTTATCGCTATTGACAACTTTCTGGTTGGTAACATCATTGTCTGATAAATCTGACGGAAATTTGAAGTTAGTAGCAACATAAGTTGGCAGCTTAGGAAAAACATTTTGTTCCTGGACTATCTCCACGTATTGTAAAAGTTCCTCAGAGTCTGACTGCAACTCTGGGATTTTTTCTTCCTTTTATCGCCAAATTCGAGGAAATCCACTTTCGTCAAGTCTTCGACGAGCAGTTCCTTAGCTTTCGAAATAAGCGACTCGGAAAAGAAACTTTTAATTTTTATCAAAATACTTAATCTATGAATTTTTTATATTTGTTAAACAAGAAAAAAAAACTTCATTATTTGTTACATTATTCGTCAAATTGTTTTTCGGAATTAAAATATCGTCTTCCGCCATCTTCACCACTTTTCAGTTTTATTTTTAAATTTTAAAAGATGACTTAATATTATTATAAATTATCTAAACTAAATTTTTATCAATTAGTTTTAAAACAAAAAAAGAAATTGTGAAAACAAATCAGTCGCGGAAATGTATAAAAATGCAATTAAAATTTAAGAGTTATTTAATTTTTTATTTATTTAATTAGAGTTAGTATTTTGATCAATGTTTTTGGCTAGAATTAATTATTTTTTGCTTGAAAATTTGGTAACTTTTGGCATGTGAAAACACATCACATTTATTAACCATTATAAAAACTTGTGATATAAATTTTTATCTATCAATTTCATGAAAGTTTATCCAATCAATATTTTGATTTCCGCTGAATAGATTGATAATGCTGCTTTTTCTCGTACTTTCCTCACCAATCTTTAATGTTTACTCAGTTTATTAACTCGAGCGGTTTCTCAAAGCAATATTACTTCATCATCGATCTTCTAACCTCTTTTCTTTTCCACAGCATCATTGTCGTCATCATCACTATTATCATAGATATCATCTTCATTATCTTCTCTATAATAATAATTAGTATTATTAACTTGGTAACATTTATCATCACGATCATCGCACAGCAGTGGGCAAAGTAATCGTCTGTCAGTCTGACTACTTGAGGCTGGCATGCGCCGACGTTGGAGAAGTGCTCGTCGTGGAGTGGGCGCTGTACGGCCGCATGGAGATCTCCAAGTATGTGCTTCATCTTCGCTGCTCCTTTACCAGGCACCATTATCAACAATTCGTCAGTGAAACATTTGTTTCACTCAATTTAATTTAGATTGCGCAAATGTTTAACTTTTTGTTACTTGAAAAATCAGATATGTCAGATTCATATTGCTTCAATCATCTATTTGAAAACTTTTTATTAATTGTAACAATTTTCACAAATTTTTAAAAATATTCAATTGCATTAGATTAGTTTACTGTTATCAATACCACAATCAAAATGATTGAAATACTTTTTCTTTCACCGTTCTACAAATGTAACCAAACTCAATACAGGTGTGCAAAGGCAAGTTTTGGCTACCTGGGCTGTTCAAACGATGTTATCAATATTATAGATGCGTATTGCTCTGGTTTGTAACCTTTTCACATTGTTTTGTTGTTGTTGTTCTAGAGTCGCCGATGTTGTTTTATTGATGTTGCTGTTTGGTGTTAATGTTGTATATATTGTTGATGTTATTTTTTAAGGTTGTAGTTGTTTGCTATTGATGTTGTTGGTGTTTTTTTTATGTTGTTTATGTTTTGCAGTTGTTGTTTCAAAGCTGATGTTGTCGTTAAATGTTGATGTTGTTGATATTGTTGATGTGTATGTTGACAATTTCTCTTTGGTTGTAGTCAGAAAGAATCGTCACGTGATTTTTTCTTTGTGTTTTATTTCCACCTTTGAAAAATTGCTTTGTTGCCGGATATTGCTAACATTGTTAATTTAGTATGATTTCAAGTGTTGTTTTTTATAAATTTCAATTCTGCTCATAATTTAGCCACAATAAAAATTATTGTTTTTGGTATAACGTTAATTTTTATGTTGGGTAGTTTGGAGTGCTAATGAAAGATTTTTTTTTTATAAATTCATAATATTTACACTGACAAGTAAGAATGGAAATTATTTAAACACATTAACAATTACGTAACAGATACATTAGAGCTGTGTTGCATAAAAAAACAACATCGTCACATTCGAACTTGCTCAGATGTATTCATGCAAATTTAAATATTTATAGCGTTTGTTTATATTTACGTACGCGCAGATCTGAAATTAATACGATAACATGAAGAATAGAAAATTATATGCAAGCATTTGTTTTCCATAAGTGTGTCTACTTTCAAACGATTGTTGTTTGCTCACTTGTGTATGAACAATGATACTTGTGTAAACGTGCATCGATCACCAATGCATAAGGCACAAGTAGAGAATTGATGCAACCAACAGGTAGGAAGGAGTGCAGCGTTCGAGTGTTGGATGAGAACTTCCCGAACGTCAAGCCGTGCCACGATGATCTCAAGTCCTATCTCGAGTTGGTCTACAAGTGCATCAAAGGTTAACGTTCCACTTTCTTTGGTTGCATATATGTTTTTTGTTTTATATTTTCTTATGCCTGTTAATTGGATAGTTCAAGTTTATAAATATAAGACGGCTGAACAAATTTTATCGACAAACTTTGTGTTTTATGTAATCAAACTGAGACGATTTAACTTAAGTCGAGTTAGTGAACGTGTTATTCTAGCAATTTACACTTTTTATAAAGTATTTGAATGAAAGTAAAAAACAACATTAAATTAAGATGCCGAATTACTGTCATTTGACCTGTTAAAATTTACAGACGCTAATGAAAAGCGGAGGTTTTTGAACTTGACCATCATCGTCAATCTCATTCTCGACAGTGATTTGGAAGATAAATTTTTGACATTTGTTTGTTTAACTTATGAATGAAAGTTTAGAGGATGATAAAAGTTTCTGATTTAAATTATGAAAGATATTTTTGTAACTGTCACAAGTATATTTGGTAGAGGCGTAGTGTCGCTAGGAAGCACCCAGCTCGAGAAAGAAGTAGAACCTTCTGACAGCGAGATATCTAGGACGTTTGAGAAGCGTCGATAAGACGGGTCCATAATAGCGATTGAGTAGTGTCGAAAGCGATATTTGATATTTGACTCTGCGTTGAAAGTGTTACAGTATTTGCGATAAACGTCATTGAATTGTGATTCGGGAAGCGATAGTTAGCAAACGTTAATTTTATAGATTGTGAACATTAATTTTTTGCGGTGAAATTGATTATCATTAGTTATTGATTTGCAAATAAGGAAAAGAAAGTTTAAAAGTTATATCATTACATAGTCTACCGGGCAGTTATAACAATAAGAATAAATTTGCGCCGAAATATCAACATTCACGCACATAAATAAGCATGCATGTTTTTACGTTCCTACTAACTTCTCATGTCTTGGTTTCTACAGTACAAATCTTGTAATGGATTTTTTGATAGCTTCCCTTTGTCAAACTAGGCCGAAGTTTTCCTGACTCGTTCATATTCGATGACAATGCATGATATAATCGACTAACGAGTTTTATTACATAAAGGTACATAATAATGATCTGTTAAATAAACTGTTCCCTATCGCCACGAAGCAAGATGTTGTTCAAACAGCCTGTGCCCTGCGCTGCCTGCATGTGCAAACAACATGATTAATTGATGATTTACTTGCTATCTCCAGTTTCAATCTGAACCCTTCATGGCGGCAAATATTTGATTTGACTGGACAGCGGACAGTTGCACATGAGACCGATGCTCGTCCATTAGAGATGGCCAGACAGCAGGAAATATTGTCTCTTCTAATTAGATGCACAAGATGGAGGAACGAGGAAAAAATTATTTCTGTTTGTGTTTGTGTAACGTTTGTGGCTGCATCCACGTTGAAAACAGCCACGCAGCGTGTTTTTGTGAGCACAACCATCGCAGCATCTGGTCAGTTATTAGTTTGTTGATCAACTGCTAATCAATATGAAAGCCACGGTTGAAAAAATAAATTTAAAATAACAAAAATGATAAATAAATACAATTGTATGCGTTTAAATGATGCCATGTTAATTAGCGAAACGTGCGAACACAGAGTTGCATGGAATTATGATTAACGAACGACGAATCTTTCAAATACGAAGGAGCATCATCATATACTCCGTCGTCAGGTGAACAGTGACGTGATGAAGTGAGCACCTGTCCAGTGCAGGATCACAACGACAAGCTCCAAATCTATTTTTTTAATAATATTAATAATAACATTATATATATATATAAAGAGAAAGAGAGAGAGAGAAGGGGAGAGAAAGAGCGAAAGAGAGAGGAGGAAAGCATAAATACACTTTGCATGCCACACAATTTTAAGCATATATTTGAATTAAAATTTATTTCAGTACTATAAACGGGATATATGAATGCTAAAAAATCAGTTGTAAAAATCTCGATAACTGATAAATATTAATAGCTATCAAGATGTCCATTGGTGAGTGGTGGAATTTTTTTTAAAAGCTATCTTCATGTTCACCACCCCCGCCATAACAACAACAACATCATCTCTACAACCACAACAACAACTACATCGTGTCCATCACAACCACAACATGCATGCGTCGAACCCAGCAATGCAATCAGATGTCGGAAATGAGAAGATAGTTGTTGCAGTGCGATATTTTATTAAGAAATATTGTTTCACATTGAACAACTGTAATTATTAATGAAACTATTGAACGATACGTAGCTGGCACAAAAATTATTAATTAATAATTATGTGATTAAAAGTCATCAAATATTTATTAAACCAACGTGACACATACAATAATTGTCAGAGCAAAATAAACGAAAAATGGGGCAGTTGCAAACTTTTGCAGCTCATATTAATTCATTCGTACTATTTTATTCAATAAATTTGAGTTTGCAAGAAAAATTTTATGAGGCAACTGCGAATTTGTTGCAGGTTTTTAATCAAAAAATTGTTTGTTTTGGAGAATGCGGAGAAAAGTCGAAATGTGTGCACCTGCATGCTATCGGACGAATTCAATCAGAAGTTCATCACAAACAGATGGCAAACAACGCGTAAGATCATTTCCTGTCCAGACAATCAAAAAAGTTATATCATAAAAATGCTTGAAAATAAGCAAATAATTTTCAGTGCTCACAAAAGTAAAAGCAACATTTCAAGTCAGGCAGCTGACTTGAAATGAAAACTGAACTTATTTAAAAACATGATTTATGTGATTTTATTCGCTAGACCAACAAACGTACTAATACATGCAACTGAGATTAACCAAAGAAATTATACACCAGCGTAGAAAAATATTTTTTCCTCATTTCACATCAGCATTTCTTTGCTGTGAAAACACGTGACGCGATGCTCTTGTTTCTGATTGGTTCTTTCAAGTGCACGTCAAGGAAATAGCTGTAAGATGACGTCATAAACAGTGTTGAGCGTAATAAACTGGCTGAGATTAACATAGGAATAACTGAATATAAAATGTGATCGAACGGGCGTTATACGGCTTCCATATGCCATAAAATACGTGTAAATAAATGTAAGTGCCTTTATGAAGGATCTCATACTCTCCGCATGTACTCTTCCATGTTTTTCCACAAACAGATGCACACATACGTGTGTTTGTGTGTGTCTGTGTGTGCCTGTGTGTATGTGTTTGTGTATGTGTGTGTTTGTTATTATATATGTTTGTTAGGGCGAGAACGTGTGTGTGATGCTACGATTTTACGTATTCGTGCATTTAAAAAGGTGCCTAAAATGGAAATTTAAATTTAATTCTATTTCCTCTATTTTCTAATTACGTATCCAAACGCTTATTATTGCCAACGTTAATAATTGAAACTTTCTCAATATGCCACACATCCATAATTTGCAATGTTTTCTATTATATATTAAGAGTTGAAAATTTATCAAGTAGTTCGGAAAGTAATTTTTTGCGTGAAAACGAAAGACAGTTTTGTATGATGGATAAATATTCTATTGAATCATAAATTTGCCATTCTGGTCCAATCTAGTCCAACAAACACACTTTGCCATCCTTATGGATAATTGTGGGATACTCTTGGAATGGTTCTGGAAAGATTTGATTAAATTTTGAGAGGCGAGTTTAATTAAGAAATGTCTGAAGCATTTCAACTTTCTTTGAGGTAGTCCATGAAGTACCTTTGAAGTCACCACACGAGAGTCGCAGCACAAATCTACTCATCATCATCATCACTCACATCGGATTCTTTCTTTCTTTTTAGCTTGAGAAACATATTTACCTTTTCTATTGAAAAAATGTGAAAAATGACAAAAATGCTACATATTGATCTCCATTTTCGAAAGAGAGCAAACCAAAAACTACTGTGTAGATTCAATTAAACGTTTTCACACAAGCCTTGCTATATCAGCTCTCAAAACCTATAATGATATGCGACTTGAGTGTGAATTTAAGTTCGAAATAATACAATATAATCAAATTATTTTCTGAACAACTGAACAACCCAATTCCCGATAATAACAAAGAAGCAACAAATTATAAGGGATTGCAAGATCTAACTCGGTCAAAAATGTCCACCATTCATAATCGTACATATTAATTGGAATATCAAATCAAACACTCACTAAAAAATCAAAATGTTTAATGAGATTATAAACTACAAGGTTCACATTAACCAATAAACTTAACGTGAACTAAGCCATTAAACACAAACCTGTCATTTTAAACGTAAACATAGCCACACATACCAACCATAAACAAAAACAACGAAACATAGACCCATACAAACATAAACACATACAAACATAAATACATACAAACATAAACACGTACAAACATAAACACATGCAAACATAAACACATACAAACATAAATACATACAAAAATAAACACGTACAAACATAAACACATACATACACATACAAACATAAACACAAACAAACATAAACACGTACAAACATAAACACATACAAACATCATCACTTGCACATCGTATCAAACTCGATACAGAGCGTTTATGAAAATTTTGTTAAATGAAACGTTAATCATGCCCCTGCATTTATGCGGATAATGATGATAGTAATGCTTCTGCTGATGATGGTGAAGAAGAAGATAATGACAATGATGTTGGTGTTGAAGATTATGAGATGGGAAAGAAGATGATGATGATAATGATGTTGTTGTTGTTGATGTTACTAAATGTAATCATTATATCGATGATAATGTTGATGGAGATGATGTTGTGGTTGATGAGGATGATGTTGTGGTTGATGAGGATGATGTTGTGGTTGATGAAGATAATGTTGTGGTTGATGATGATGACACTGTTGTGATTGATGGTGAAACTACACCGGCCCATCTCTCGCCTATCATTTATATTCCAGTCATATCGAGCTAGCTTAGCACATGTTGTTCATTTCCAATTTGCAAAGGTACGGGAGAGAAAATTAATAAGAAAATTGAAAAAATTGTTCCTCTTTTAATTCACTCATAATTTATTCTCTTTTTTCGTTTGCAAAATCATGACGTTAAATACAGATAGAATGTTTGGATTGTTGAATGTGTTGAATAAGCAAAAATTATAATTTTTTGAATTTCTTTTTCTCACTGACACAATTTTTTAGCTTACAACCGTCCAATGTATTTGGATATAAGAAGCCTTAACGAATTGAAGAGCAATTTTGTACATGTATATATTTTCATAAATGTTTTAAATTTGTTTATTTGAAAGTGTTTGTAAAATTATATTTTAGCGCCAATTTGTTTCGTCAGCAGATTTTTAAGATATGAAATCTTTCAAGAAGTTCACAGGCATCAAATTTGAAAGTATGAAACGATGCAGCCAATGAAAAGATGATTTTGTATCTGACAGGTTTGGGAAGCGGCAGAGTGGGCGGTGATACAAGACGACAATTCTTTCGCATTTTTCAGACTAGTCAGCACAAGGCCTCACTTTTTTTAATGTGGCCCCACGCAAGTCCTAATGCACTCTTAAGTTGTGGAGACTGGACGGTTTGTGATGTTGATGAGTTTGTTTTTCCTCCATGCGTGCCAGAACATGTTGAACAACAACAACAATAAACAGCATCAACAACAATAACAGCATCAACAACAAAAACAACAACTAGACCAACGACTGCAGAGCAGATGCATGCCTCTTTTAATGACGACCGTTATTTCTGCATGTCTTCTTCTTTTATTTCCATCTGCATCTCTTTCTGTTTTAATAAATTTCTTCTCAATACAAATGCGTTGAAATGTTTCATGGCGTGATTGAAGCCGATGGTTGGTCCACGTTGTTCACTCACATCGGCACGCCTTCCATGTAGGATGCGGTGGAAGACACAGCGCATTGTTTGATGGAATGGCAATGAAGCGTGTGTATAAACACTAATCATATTAAACAGGGTCCTGTAAGTAGGAGTCCTTATTGATGCAATTTATTTTCGTTTGAGAAACTACAAGAGAGTCTTTAAAGAATGTTTGTGACGTGTCTGCAATTGAATACATGTACGTGCATTGCATATTTTTATGCGTCATGCACCTCTCTGTTTTTCAGCTACGAAAATATCAATCTTTTATATTTTTGAAGAAATATTTCAAAAGTTAACTACGTAACCATGAATTGAGTTACGAAACCATAACCAATATGACTTAGTCATTTATTTGAATCACCATTTGGAATTTTTAATTAATCAACTCAGTCTTCAAATTTTAAGAAAGTGATAATTTTATCGCAAAATACGAAATTATAAATTACGTTACAACTTTTGAGCTCATTTGAGAACAACTGTGCTGCTTCAAATTCAACTCTGGGCATCTTTAAATATTCTTCCAAACAGTTTTAAACGATCCTCGCCGGCAATGCTTCTCAACGTCTACATCATCATTACCACAACCGTCATCATCATCGTCGTCGTCATCGTCGTCGTCGCATTCGGGTGACCTCAGCGGTTACATTTCAAGTCTGGTGCCCATGGAAACAGGATGCGGAACGAAGGATGTTCATTGGATAATTTCCGGTCAACCTGGGCAGCAAGTCAACATATCCATCATTGATTTCACTTCCTCTTTCAACTTCCGACTTGCAGCGTCATCGGAAAGTGACTACAATTCAATCATCAATAACGCAAACATCAACGACATCAACAACAACATCGAAAACAACATCAACAACAATATCAACAACAACATCAACATCAACAACAACATCAACTCAATCAATGTTATAAGCATAGACACCCAGCACAAAAAATTCATCGATTATGAGACTGTGAGTACATTTTATTTAATTTTTTCATATTTGAATAAAATAACTTATTTTTAAAATTTCTACGCCTAACGAAACATTTGACACAACGAAATGTACACCGCTCATGAAAAGGAAGAATGTTTCACATGGCATGGACATCACCGCCAGGATGGCCTTGCATTGAATAAATGCGTTTCGTGCCATTTCATGAAACCTAGATTACTTTTTAAAATTGTTATCATATTTGTGAACCATAGTGCAGAATCATTTGCATGTAAATTGCCAACTGTTTACAACGCAATGCAATCTTGATACATTTCCAATTCATCGCAAGACCTCCAACCAACTCACCCCCACACCACTCATCCTCTCATATTTTTAAACACAATTTTTTGTTTCTTCGATTAATTCTTTGAAAAATCAGTTTGCACTGCAAATTTATGCAGCGGTATGCAATATAATGCATGGATTCTCTTCATAATTTCTATTTCAGTATTTCTCAATTAACTTATCAACCTTCAATAGTTTTAATACTTATTTGTTTTAATACGTACTTAGCGCCATTTTCAACTCTATTTGATTACAGCGTGCAATGTACCAGGTTTACAATTTGCAATCACATAAGCAGACGACAGAATGAAACCATCCATTTTTCGGTATTTCAACAGTTTCACTTTTAAATCTCACAAACGTACCTTTCAAAACCGCCAACATAATTATGCCATGTTTCACAGCGTGTTCCCGCGTCCTAGCTACCCCACCGCAGCCACAACACAACATTCCAGCACACCCGCCACTTGGAATAAGGCACAGTCTCAACTCGTCTGGTTAACTCCTTCACCTTTATCACATATCAACAAAAACACTTCAATGTTTCACCTTTTCATATGTATTTAAACTTTGCTAAATTTACGGTATTCACTCTTTTCATGGAAAACTGCTTCTTGCTCGATTGCTACTTGGTAGAAACTTTCGTTCACGTTCTTGCGGTTGGACTCCAGTTTAATTTTTCTATATAAATCAATTTTAACTAAGTTAATTTTTTCTAAAATAAAGTTACTATACTTTTACAACCAAAAATCATGTATTAGCCATTTTAGATGCAATAAAATAACGCACTAAAGGGGTTACGGTGGTTCGGAGAGACACTCGCTTACTCGGTATGAGTGTGATTTTAATTCTAGAATCAATTCTATGAAACGTCGAAACAAATTGTATGCAAATTTTGTTCAATGTTTTTTTTAATTATAAATTTAAATAGGAAAAACAATGTTTACACAGTATTTTTGAGCCGTTCAAGAGGGGGTAGAGCACAATGTCACACAAGTTTCGTATTATACTGTCACGCTCGTGCACAGAGGACAATGCCCCTTTGTCATCCTCACTTTAACTGGTCTTTCACATTCTTCTTTTACAATATCCAGCACTTGAAATTGGTTTTAAAAATTTAAAATCGGTTTTCTAAGACAAATAGAATTGTCCAAATGTTTCATAATTATTGACTCGACAAAACATTTCCCGAGATTCGCAATGAATTTGCGAAATGTACAGCTTCAGACGATTTGTCCCAATCAGAGTTATTGCACATCCAGATCGTGAAACAGCAATGAAAGCTTGTCAAGCATGTTAAAAAACAAGATCATCGGCCGTCTGATGATCTCCCCTTCACAATGTTTGAAGCCAAATGATCTGTTATCGACGCCACTTTCAGCGGAATTATTAAGAAGGACCATCCCCGGTTTATCAACAGATCAACACTAGACCTTTTTGGGTACATATAACATCAAAGTTTTATTACAAAGTGAAATTTAGTTGCTACAAGCCCAAGTTTTTCATGCCTCACGTATATTTGTTTATTAATATTTATTCAATAAAAAGTCTATTTAATGTCGAATATATACAAAAATAAACATCATTTATTGGCAACTTTAATGTTAATTGTGTATCATATAAACATTTTGAATAATGTTTGTCTGGGTTATAAAATGTACTCCGAAAAAATATATTTCGCAAAATTTAACGTTGATATTTTATTTTAAAATAGGACATAATGGTATCTTAACAATGTCTTAAAGCATAATTGTTGTAGTTCTGTTTATAACAAAGTAGTAGCCATTGAGAGTGCCTTAGGGTGCAGAATGCATTATTCAGCTCTTGAAAGAAAAATACGCCACCAGCTAAGTGCAGAATGCTCCCCAACTTCCAGTTGAGGGTTAAATCTTATTTTAAATGAATATCTATTACACTCTATTTAACTTCCAAGAACCAACCACGCCACACCACACTGGCCCTATCGCATTTCTGCACCACGTGTGTTGCAGCTTCATTTCATACATAACTAATCTCAAACATGTACCCACATAAATTTCTGAATTATTCAACTGATCATCAAATACAAACTCTTTGTAGTACATAACCAGTATCATGTTACAACCAGCCCATATTTCTTTTGAAACATCTCTAATCGTTGTGCACCAACGTTGAAGCATAATTAACAGCCAATGCATTTGCTGGTTTGTCATTGTTGGCACAAGCGAGCATCATGTTTGAATATTACAAAAAACTCATCTGGCAGTACGATAACATGACAGTTTCTAAAGGTGGTGCACAACCTTGATGATCAGAGCATTGTGGTGCCTATTATTTTAACTTTAAATAAATTACAGTTCTTAGAAACGTGGTTAAAATGGCTTGAAATATCATCTCTTAGAATATCAAATGCATAAATTTTAAAATAATTTTGAGTTTTTAGATCATTAGCTGGTTAGAAGCACTTGACACTGCCAAAGGAATCATGAGGACACCAAGTCCAGCAAAGAGGGATTTCGGAGCTAAAACCTCCCCCCACTTGAAAATTTGGCTGAAGTTTAAGTAAAATTGAACAAAATCGGTATGTAAGCTTGAAAAATTTAGCTTCATTTTGAAAAAAAATTGATAATTTTGTGGTAAGAAAGAAAAAATTACCAACATTTTTAAACAAATTGAAGCTCCGCCCAACAAAAAATCCAACCACGCCACCGCAAATACATAATACTCTTTATTAGTTGCAAATCCACAGTAGAATAAAAAAATTTAAATACGAATTTTTTGTTAGCTAGGTCAATAAAAATTTTTGTAAAATTTTAAAATAATTATGGTATATAATTAAGTGAATGTTGTTTTATCATGAGGAACTTTAAAGTTTTAGAAAAAAATTATAAAGAGCTTTAAATTCTATTTCAGCACCAGTCACACACGAGACAGCTTGAGCAAGCACAGCTCAGAACTCAGACTGAAGCACAACTTGCTCATGAAACCATGAGAAGATGCAAGAAACTGGGAGATATATTTTCGATGACACATCACTCGACTTGATGCATGCAAATCTAGATGTGCATATTTACGTCTAACAAAAATTTCAGTGAAAAACTGAGATTTATTAAACTGAACAACATTGCTGTGGTTATTTTGTTTGTTAAAAATTTGGTTAATACCGTAACAAAAGTTTAGTTGGTACTTTGGTTTATGAAACGAAACGTAAACCTTGGCAAGCATCAAAACGCCTCAACTGATTTCAATTGCAATATTTGTATCACATTTCATTACTTAAGCTCTTTCGCAACATTTTCTATTACAATGCCAAATAAAAAGCAGAGCGGAGTCACATGGATCAGACTGCATTGCTGTTGAGGTGGCCACTGTTCCACAAAGTATTGCCATTCATTTTGCATTTGATTCCAATTATTCAGCCGGCCAATAAAATGTATCTTGCCATTTTCAAAATTGATTTTAGCGCGCCAATTTTTTCGATGAGATTAAATCTTATGTGTGCGTGTGTGTGATCGCAAGTTATTTAAGTCATCTTTTCTATAATTTTTTCATTCAAAAAGCCTACACACGTACGAATGCTGCCAAACCAGTTGAAAATGTATTAAATTTTTTTCGTTCTATTTTAATTATTTATTTATCTCTTCTTTCAGCATTTGACTGGCGATTTTTGATAAAATAACTCAAATATCATTCGGATGTCAACCCTCTCAATTCCTAATTTGCATCTGCTGTCCTTGAAAACATTGCAATTCATTTAATTTCAGTCATTCATATGAAAAATTCAAGTTTCCAAAAAAACATTCAAAACAGTGCAGATGAATCTCTTTTCTAGATTGCTCGCATTCACCAGATTTCAATGTCTGCTTGTGTGAGACACTTTGATTTCAGCTTTTCAAACCTGCTTCCCTTCTATTTTCATTGCGTTACAAACATCCGCGTGAAAATTTTTATTTCTTTTTCAATGACGTTATGGTTTACTATTACAAAATTTAAAATTCATTCACCGTGGTCGTGTTTACAAAGAACCATACACACACTCACAACCACACACACACGCGCACGTACGCACGCATGCACACATGATACATGAGGCTGATACACACACAACCACACAAACACACACACACACACACAATTACACACCCGCACGCACACTCACGCACACACACACACACACATGATACTTAAGGCTGACAGACACGCACACACACACACACACACACACACACACACACATGATACATACACAGACACACACATGATTCATGTGGCTGACACACACACACACACACACTCGCACGCATAGAAGATATTTGTTCGTTTTGAAAGTTCGAATAAACGCAGGCTTTGTAGGAACGTCGCATACGTGTCTGAAAAACAAATCCATGTACGTTTGCACATATAAACACACACACACGCATATATATATATATATATATATATACAACGAAGCTACACAACAACCACAACACAATTGCGTAAATACACAGCAACAATGAAACAAGACAACAACCAAATAAATGTTTATATACACCACAGACCACACAACAGCATAGCTCCACGGCGACGCAACACAACAAAAAACAAACAACAAACCACGCATTAACACCAGAGCCCATCCACCACACTGCAACACCAAACAACACAACAACAACACCACCACAACTACAACCGTACAACAGTACAACAGCAAAGCAACAACAACACAACAGCAAAGCAACAACAACACAACAGCTAAGCAACAACACAACCACCACCTCGGCCTCTCATAAATAATTCATCAACATTCAACAGCATCATTACCAGGATTGCCTCGCATACGCCACAGTCTCTGAACCACGATCAAGTGGCGGGAAACAACTTGGTGGTGC